TGCTCTGGAACGGGTTCAAAAGCGTGTTTTATCAATCATCTATCCACTGACAGGTTATGCGGATTGTTTACAAAAATCGGGCATCAAACCATTAAGTGACAGGCGTGTGGATGCATGCGAGAAACTGTTTAATGAAATCACCACAACACCAGTAGCTAATATGCATAATCATGTACCATCTAGATACTTTCCAAATTACGACCTTAGACACTCAAGGTCTTTTGTTGTTCCTCAGACCAAAACGAACAGATTTAGAAACAGTTTTTTTCCCTTCATCTGCAAGGCATATCAATAATATTAACTGACAATCGATTCTGATATTCAGTTTTAGACTGGCTAACATTTTTTTAGAAATTTACTAGTTTCATAGCTAATTTGTAATGTAACTTTAAACTTCTGTAATATAGAATTATAAATTGTAATGTAATTTTAAACTTCTGTAAATATAGAATAACTAATTTTAATCATTTCTCTTGTAAAATTTGGCACGCAATTCAGCCTTATTGGCTGCTATGTGTTAATCTTATTAAACAAACAAACAATCTATCTATCTATCTATCTATCTATCTACATTTCGCAACGAAACTTCGAATATTATTAATTTTGTGATGCTCTTTCAAGCTGTGATGAAATTTTTGTCAAGGCATATCTAGATCAAAATTTCACTCATAAGGGGAAAGGTCTGTTAGCTTTTCTCATGGCCGATTTTCCCGCCATTTTTGGGCACCACGAAATGCAACTTTTTAGTATTGTAGTTGTTTGTATGATGGTAAATTTACAGTTACAACTTTTAAAGGGTCATGATCAACCACAATGCAATGCGCGCTTTTGTTTACGTTTTTCAGTTACTTTCCTCAATAGTTGCCGCCATCTTCGAGGCCACAAAAATGACTGCCTCTGGCCCACAACGTATCAGAAACGTAACCAAACGCACGTATTGCATTGTGGTTGATTATGACCCTTTAAAAGCCCCATTTCATGTTGTTTGAATTGTCTAGAATCTTTCACGAGAGCAGACCGTTCCACAAAAATGGCGGATTTTGGCCTTCGTGAGAAAGGCCAATTCCTCACTCCTTCGGCAGCAGTCTTCATTGGCATGACGTCATTGTTTTTCATATCAACGTTATGACGTCACTCCAATTGAATATTATGTCAAAACTCCATATTTGGCCAGCTATTGAGTTGATTTGGTTTCACAGTTGGCTATTATATAGTCGATCGAATAACATAAACAAATAATGCGATATTGCAGATTCCGTGATTTTCCACAACACTCGCACGACCAATATTCACGTTTCTATTTTTCACACAGTGTTCCTCGACTGAGACGTTTTCTGGCATGTTATGACCCTAAGGAGAAGATCCTATTGGGCGAGAGATATGGCTATGGTTGTAATGCTGCTCATGGTTATGAGTACATCACAGGAGGAGGAGGGTAAGATATTATAACCATGCGTATAGTGCTATTTAACAAATACATAAGATTTTGCCGTTGTCTGTTCAGTTATAGATACACACTATGACGTCATACTGCGGGAAGAACAAAAAACTGGCTCACGAGCCGAGTGGATCACTTTTTTGTTCTTCAAACATTATGACGTCATACTGTGTATCTATAAATGAACAGTTACGACAAAATCTTATCTATTTGTTTTAAATAATAAAAAGAAAAACCCCGAATTAAACAGGTAAATAACTAGCTTACTTTTTATCCACCCAAACATGTGGAAGTTTGAAAAAGTCGAAATTTTACAAATATCACGCGTACATGATCTATACAAATAAGGGAATGCTATTGGCTACCTTAATTGTGACGTAATTCCGCCCGTCTGTCCTCTAATAGATCATGGCTCTCGACCAATGAAAGCGCTTGAATTCTTAATTAACGTTGTTATGTAAACATATTTCTCAGTATAAAGAAAGAGTCGTTGGTTACTGCATTTTCCCCTCGGGGGCGCAATAGTCAGAGCAAACACCTGTCACCTCTGAGATCGTGTGTTCGATTCCCTAGCCCCTAACTAACCCTTCCACCGTAGTTGTGCTGTGTGATCAGACATGAGTCATAAGGTGGGTGCAAGAGGCGCCCTTAGAAAGCCTTCAACTCGTCCTTCGCAATTCAATTTAGCTCTCTGCTGCGAGTGAGGATGACCCACTTACTTACTTACATAGGAACTAGACTCAGTTCCGAAATATCACATACTCGAACCGACCTGACCACGTAGCTCAGTTGGCAGAGCATTGGACTAGTATTCCAAAGGTCGTAGGTTGGATTCCCACCGGTGTGGATATACACTCAGAGTAACATCACAAGCATCTTATTCACCTGAGTACACAACACAACAAGTATCATGATTATTAGATAACATTGATATCGAAGGAACTGGACTCAGTTCAGAAATATCACATACTCGAACCGACCTGACCACGTAGCTCAGTTGGCAGAGCATTGGACTAGTATTACAAAGGTCGTAGGTTCGATTCCCACCGTGGCCAGGCATATTTTTCAAGCCTGCCCGGTGTGGATATACACTCAGAGTAACATCACAAGCATCTTATTCACCTGAGTACACAACACAACAAGTATCATGAAAAAACTTGCCTCGCTTTTCAGCAGATGTGCACCTTTTCGATGTAATACACGGTTTCTCGTTTATGATGTATATTACAAAAAAATATATATTGGCTTGCAAATATATTAACTGCACAAGTTCTATTTATATGACTTCACAAATTTGTTATCACTGCACCTTAGTATAATCCTTGTGTTGAAGTAAATAAGCTGTGTAAATTATTTTTAGTATGGTGTTAAGTAATGCAGCAGTGGACGCGTTATTGAGGTCAGATTGTGGATGTTATACTCCAGATGCCCCAGATGATATGGTCTTGGGTCAGTGTTACAGAATGCTGGGGTTACGTACTGTTCATAGTCCAGAGTTTCATCAGGTAACTTTGTCTCGTTGATTCTCAAAGCAGAGACGTATCTATCTCAAATAATGGTAATGTTGGGTTAGTAGCGTTGCAGACTGCAGTGCAGAGGATAGCATGGCTCCACACAGTGCATTTTTTAAGGATTCTTCAGTGGTGGGGCAAAACTGCCAAAGGGCCCATTCTCTCCTTGCCCTCCTCCAGGATAGTGCATACATTAGTTAGCTAGTGGGGTCTGAGGACATACCACCCCCCCCCCCCCGTTTAAAATTTGGGTCTCTGAAATAGTATTTCCTGCATTCTGAGAACACATTTTTAAGAAAATCTCAGCTTCTCAAAACAAAGTTTTGATGGTGAAATTTGTAATAAATTGCATGCTAAACATTCAAAGACAACATAAGTTTAATGATAATCACCAACAAATTTTGTTTTTTAAGCTTCTTCTCAATGTTAAACTCATTCACTCAATACAGGTTTAGGGCCCTGGCTTTGGGGAAATAGGCCATTTTTTTTCTTCAGTGGTGGGGCAGAGGAAGGGGCCCGGTGGGGCAAATGCCTCACCAGTCCATGGTATTAAAAAATACCTTGGCTCCACAACTGGCCTCTGTAGCTCAGTTGGTTAGAGCTCGACAACTGGCCTCTGTAGCTCAGTTGGTTAGAGCTCGACAACTGTCTCTCTGTAGCTCAGTTGGTTAGAGCTCGACAACTGGCCTCTGTAGCTCAGTTGGTTAGAGTTGACAACTGTCTCTCTGTAGCTCAGTTGGTTAGAGCTCGACGACTGTCTCTCTGTAACTCAGTTGGTTAGAGCTCGACAACTGTCTCTCTGTAGCTCAGTTGGTTAGAGCTTGACAACTGTCTCTCTGTAGCTCAGTTGGTTAGAGCTCGACAACTGTCTCTCTGTAGCTCAGCTGGTTAGAGCTCGACAACTGTCTCTCTGTAGCTCAGCTGGTTA